GGCTGAAATTCAGGAAGTAGTGAAGCTGTGCATAAAGCCCATTCTCTTCAATTAGACATTCTCTGATATCTCCCATTGAAAACAATTGGAGGAATTCGCCAGGAGTGTGAAAAAACACTTTGGCAGACACACGGCCTTACTTGGAGTTCCTCTGAACCCCTCCTTGCCTTTATAATGTCACACTTTAACATTATTCTCACTCAGTAAAAATGTGTCTCAAGAAAATGTATAGTTTCTGACCCTTATCAAAACGCAACCCAGAATAAGATGAACCCAAGACGTGCAAGTGCAAGTGTTTTAGCGTAGGACAAATGGATGCATTTCGATCTCATGCACAGCATGTCCCCAAACAGTGAACATTTTTTGATGTTGCAAAATAATGAGCTTAGAAAGTGTGTTTGATGAACCATCAGAGAATAGTCGTGGCAGAGACTCTTGTTTAAAATGGAACAACAAACATGCCGGACAATGAGATTGCAGGATCCTGAAATAATGGGACTTGCATAACGGATGGTGAAAGTGTTGATTTCTGGAGAGCACAGCTGGGATCTCTCCCCAAACCTGTGGAAAATCAATCACAATGTTTCCTAACAAAAGATCTTCTGATGAGTGGTTTTTTTCTTCTGTGTTATAATGCAACATTTATTTGGTCGTGACCATGGCATACAAACTAAAACAATGTTAGCACATTCATTAACATTTGATATTGTTGTTTTAAATTAATATCGTCATTTATACATTTTATAAATGTATCACATCTAAAACACATTTTTCCAACCAGCTAGGCTATTTATTCAAATTTACCTTAAGTCAGTGTTCTTATATTGTGTTCACTTACTCAACAGATATTACAAAAACTTGATAATATTGGATATTATAGTTTGTAATTCTTAAAATGTCCTTGGACAAAATATACATTTGGCTTGCTTCAGAGGGGGCCTACAAGACATTGTGCCCAAGGGCCTCTGAACTCTTAATACGGCCCTGGCTATATATTAGTGCTGTCTAATTCATTAATCACGATTATTAATCAATAATTTAATGTATTTTTATAGTATATTATTTTATGATATATGTTGTTTTTTTTTTACCAATATACTATATATATAATTGGTGTATATATATATATATATATATGACCATTTTATATATATATATATGTAAAAAAAAACAAGATAAACAACCATATATCATAAAATAATACACTATACAAATACACGAAATTATTAGTTAGCATGATTAAATAAACCTTAAAAGTGTATCATTGCATGCATGTGTATTTTTAGAAAAAGACCAGTGATCCAATTGTACACGGGCAGTTCTGGAATATGATAATAATAATCGCATGTGTGTCTGCAGTGCAGCAGAGTGACCGATAGATGGAGCCATGACTCTGTTATAAAGTGATGATGATGCGTTGATTGACAGTAAACATTAGTTAGCTCAGCAGTTTTTCGTATGATTCAGCGCCATTTTGCAGAAATATTGCTTACATTCTTAATAAATATTTGTGTATATATTGTTAGTATAAAGGGTGTCATTTTATTAAAACAGTTTTCTTGCTTTTTCCACCAAATGTCAGGGAACAAATCTCAAATTGCTCCTCGCGGCCTGTGAATCAGCGAATTGTTGACATCATGACACTGCTATTTAGCGGAATCATGGTCAGTAGCAGAGCTTTATATCATGTTTTTCTTCTGTCTAATATGTACATCTCTGTTGTTCATGTGAGGTTCTGGCTGTGTTTCAGGCCGGTGTGGTCCAGAGGATGATCTTGTTGAAGTCTGTCAACAGTTTCCAGCCTTAAGGTGATTCATTCATCCAATAAATAATGAAATGCAGGTAACGTTAGGCCTATATAAATGACCACCTAATAATCTACTAGCATGAAAAAAGTTATTCGCTATATGCAGTTAGGCTATGTATAATAATTACATTAAAAGTGTTTACTAGCGTAAATTTTGTCATCTTACTCGCCATCAAACCTAGGCTATATAGTCGTTGTAAAAAAATACATTCACCTTGTAGAATCTGTTAAATGTTCATTATTTTAACAAAATAAGAGGGATCATACAAAATGCATTTTTACTTGGTACTGTCCTGAATAAGGTATTTTACATAAAATATGATTCATAGTCCACAAGACAAAAAAGAAGAAAAAAAAATTGCTGGATTTAAAAAAAAAACGATAAATGAAAGTTTATGTAGGCCTACCCTGTTGATCCACGATGTTTTTAGTTTTGTGATGGTTGTTCTGGAGTTAAACTGCCCAATGATCTTCAGAAAAATCCTCCAGGTCCAGAAAATTCTTCAGTTTTCCAGCATCTTTTGTATGTTGAGATCTGTATGATTTTGAGATCCAACTTTTCACATTGAGGACAATTTAGGGACTCACACAACTATTAAGAAAGGTTCAAACATGTACTGACGCTCCAGAAGGAAACCAAACCAAATGTATCATGCAGACTAAACAACTAAAGGCTACTGATTTAAAATAATCTCATGATATTAAATTCAGTTTAAGTTCTACAGTCTGGGAATAATGATTAAGCGAGTAGCTTTACAAAGTGTGTGCAAAAATATTTAATCAGTTTATTACCATTTCCAATTTCAAACTCACAAAAAGACACAACAAAAAACATATTTATTAAAAGTCTGTTTTATTGCAGGTTTATTTGTAGACAGATGTGGAATAGAAACTGATACACCACATAAAAGTTATTGCAGATATATTCTCATCAAATTTATCTTGTAAAAAGTTTAAGCCACAGGCAGCCTTCCAAAACATCAAGATGACTTCGACGTTACGGCTCATGCATTTTTAAAATAGCCAACAGGCTTTAGTTTTTCTGTTAAACATTTCTTGTGTTAGTGTTTAGGAAGTATGCAAGCATATAGAATATAAATAGTTTCAGATTTTTTCACTGGGTGATTCATATTTAGGCTATGATGTTTAAGTCTCCCTCTGGTGAAAATCTAATTTTTAATGTTGTTTATCACGTCTATGTGGTGTTTTTAATACGTTTTAAGACAAATCATGTGTAAATTCATAAGTCGATTTTTTTTTTTTGCTTAAAACTGCAGTGAACCAAAGACAGTCTCAAAAACACGGAAACATGGTGTTTCTGACGTCACTAACGACCTTGTAACCAATCAGATCAACGTGTGATCGTCAACCAGTGGAGGGATTGAGTGGAGGCGGGGCTCATTCGCATATTCAGAGAAGTACGTATACTAAATGAGGCGAGGGTGTCGAGTTACATTCACGACATTTTAAGAAATGAATAATTTTTTTTAAAGGAAAAAACGTTTAAATATGTCATTTTGGTGATTAAAGATGAGTTTTAAGTGATAAAATGATTGATACAGCGAGACTTTAACTTGATCGTTTGCATGTACCTGTGTGTCCTGATGATGGCGTGAGATTCAGCGCCTCCTGCTGGCGTATCGCTGCCCTTCAGGGAAGGCAGTAGGTTGTATAGTTATCTCCTGATGGGGCAAAATCACTACCCTGAAACCACACAACCTACTACCTCACCCTGTACGAACATCAGGAGTGACCGTCAAGCGCAGGGTCATTCGAGGATCCTGTAAAATAATGAACTTCACGGCACAGATTGTATTGGAAAATAAAAACATCCTCAGGCCGCGAGGTGCTCAAATACTGACTTGCATAATATTAATAAAAAAAAATCTTGTTTTTTTTGCAAAGCACAGCTGGGAAAACTTCCCTCGTAAGAAAAGCCGTGCGGAAAATCAGTCATTGTGATTTGAAATGTTTTTTAAAGAGGACCTGTTGTGCTTTTTTACATTGTAATGTTGCCGTTTGGGAGCTCTTCTCTATATCAGTGTCTGTGTTTCTGAACTCATTGTAGTCTTGAGTCTCTTCAAAGAACGAACACGTCACAATATTCCTCGTTATAATAATTTATACAGAGAATAAAGGGGCGGGGCCTGGTTGAGATAGTTAGTAGTGTGTTAAACTGGTGGTTATGGAAAGGGGCGGGACATTTCCCAAACACACTTGAAGCCCTCGACCCAGCCGACCAATCAGAGCACAGTGTGCTTTTCAGAAGGAGGGGCTTCATAGAGACAGAAAGTAAACAGAGCGTTACTGACAGACTGGGAAGAGAGGAGCCGCAACAATGGAGAATATGAGGAAAATAATCAACATTCAAGCAGGAAAACCTGCTCTAGTAGAGCCTGAAACACATCAAGACTTGTTCAAGAGGCCATGTTACGACCTTTTACATAGATAATTTAAAACCATCAAATCAATTCATCTTTTAACCAGCATGCACATCAGTTTTGATATTGGGTTGATGGATGTAGTCCATTCCAGAGACTTCATCCATCCAAACCCAGTCCTGTCCAGTCGTGATCCGGTCCAGGTTTGGTCGCAGAGTTTAAAGAGGAAGATGACGGTGATATTACAGCCTCTTCAGGAAAGACAGTAAGTTGTATAGTTATCTAACAGGAAGGGTGTCACCCTAAAACTATACAACCTACTACCTCACCCCAAAGGACAGTGGGATACGCTGGAGAGACGTCAGCGCTGGAGCCCGTCTGAAACACACTTACAATACATCAGAAGCAGGCTTATTATCGTTCACTAAAACTAAAAACATACTGATTTTACGTTACAAAAATGTAAGTATAAATAAAAATAAACTAAATTATGTACGCTTGTTTAAGACAAAAATAAAATTGCAATTCAAATTTTTATCGCATAATTCCGATATTTTTGTACAATTACAAACTTGTCTCACAATTCTGACTTTTTTCGAACTGCGAGTTATAAACTGGAAAAAGGGATAAAATAAAGTCTGAATTGTGCGACAAACTCGCAATTATAAAGAAAAAAGTCAGAATTACCAGTTTAAATATCACAATTCTGAAATAAACTCACAATTATGAGAAAAATAGTCGCATTTGTGAAATTTTACCAAAATTAAAGTGAAAATATAAAAATAAAATGTAATTCAAAATATTAACCGAAAAGAAATGAATGCAGAACCTAGTGTTTAAATTGACCAATTTTACAAATTTACCAATTGAAGGGTAAACACAGACTAAAAAACACAAAAGCATCAGTGAATGAAGGCGAGTGTGGGTGCATTTGAACTGGCACCTGTTCGGGAAGAGTTTTAAACTCATTTCAGTCTGATTACTGCCGTCTTCATCCTTCTGCATCTGTAATGAAAAGAAACAAGTCTTCCTCATTATCTGCTGGTTTTATGCCTTCTCTTCAGGAATAGGTCAGATTTGGGTCTTGGGTTGGTTGGCGATACACACGTCACGTGTGGCACAGCTTTATGTGGGCAACCCCAGTTTGAGTTCAGTTCGGGTCATTTTCCAATCCCAACATGCCTTCTCCCCGCTTCAGCCAGGTCTCGATAAACTTCAACAAAATCCTACGAAATATTTAGATTGAAATTAGTGCTTTCAAATCTAACATAAGAGTTTGTGTTTATTATATATATATATATATATACACACACACAATTTGTTTTAACCCAAATTTGCATCAAATATGGACAAACCCAGATGTTGGGTTAAAATAACCCTGCAATTATATAATCGCAATTAATCCATTTGCCAGCCCTGATTTAAATACGATATCTTAAGTTTAAAATTAGAGTAGAGTAAAATAATAAAAAATATGTGATCAAATAATTATTTAACCTATTTATTTGAATTTTTTTAATTAATATTATAAATAATTTATCATTTGTATTACATAATAATGAATATGATTTATTTTAATATAAAATTATTTAAATTTTACTTTTTTTTCTTGGTACACATGTTTGTTATACCACAGTGACATTGATTTGATGAGTTACACAGCCTTGACCTTCACTTTGAGCCCAACAAAAACAGAATCAGAAATTGAAAACATAAATATAAAAAAAATGCATTTATGAATACATTTTTGATTGAGACCAAAAAAAAGAAAAGAAAATGCTTCTATTGCAAACCGATTTCCTCATGGGTTTCCATAATGGTTAATCAGGATGGCGGCCCCGAGGGGCCACGGGAGGTATCCAGACAGCTGAGTTTGCTCAGCAGATGCTAAATAGGGCAGGAGAGGCTCCGTCGGCCCGGGTTCACAGGGCAAAGGCCTGAAGCCGCTATTTTTATATGCCGACAGCTCCTGTTACAGAAGTGCCGGACTGGACGGGTTTGAGACTGGCTGTGGGGGACAGTCGACACCGTGACCCCTGCGCGACCCCTGCACGACCCCTGGCTGAGAGTGCATGGAGAACGAACGCAGCGAGAAGGTAAAAGAGTATGAGCAAACACAGAGGCAGAGCGACTCACATTCATACAGGCGTGCATCTCAAACATGCAATCAAATAATCTAAAGTGACAGTCAATGATTTTCATGATGTTTGAATGAATGCTGTTCTTTTGAACTTTATATTCATCAAAGAGTCCTGAAAAAAAAAAACAATTATAGTTTCCACAGAAAACATTGATAGTAATCATAGTATATTAGAGTGATTTCTGAAGGGTCATGTGACATTAAAGACTGGAGTAATGATGCTGAAAATACAGCTTTGAACACAGGAATAAATTACATTGTAAAATATATTCACATAGAAAACACTTATTTTAAACTGTAATAATATTTTACAGTTTTACTGTATTTTACTGTATTTTTAATCAAATCAATGCAGCCAGGAGATTTAAAAATGGTACGACTTGTGAATGGCAGTGGACGTAAGAAATGCAAGACACCCCATGTAATGCGGCCGGAAAATGCGTCGCATGCTGGCGCAAGTTTATGAAAATAATAGAATAATAGAAATGTTCCTTCAAAAGTTGCAGGTTACGTGAGTTTGAGGCTAGACTTCAACAACAGGACAATTTAAATTAATTCCATTCATATGTATATATTCATATGTCACCATGCACGTACCAATGCGCATTCGGATCCGATGGAGACTTCATCTCGGATGTTTCTCCTAAAACCCCTGAGAACAGAGCAAACAGGCACAAATGAGTCGATCAAGCGAATCATTTGATGAGAAATGTTGGAGTTCATATTGAAATGCGAGCACAGATCGAGACATTACTAAGATCTGGAGGATCTACAGGAGACGCATGTGAGATTTCTCAGGAGACACATCTGAGAGTAACGTTCAGATGTTCAGGTTTCCACTTGCTCTCCATGTAAACTCATACAAAGCTGACGTAATGAGACTTTTGAGTTTAAAACTGTTTGAAAAAATGTTATTCATTGGAAATCTTAATGCATATGCTTTTTCATTCATTCATAGTCACATATAAAACAATAATAATAACAATATTCATGTGTCCTTCTACGCATTTAGTTAAAAAAAATATATTATATATTTTTAAAATTCCATATATTACTCAAGTCTATAACCTTATTTTTATAATAAAAAAAAAAAAAGTCAGGGTATTGCATAAAAAATGCTGGATTAGAAAAATTAAATAAAAATGAAAAATTAATTTAATAAAATGTTTGTGTTTTTTTAAATGTGCATTAAAAGCGTGTATGTATATATATATATATATATATTACAAATATTATACAAGTCTATCCACTTATTTTTATTAAAATATTGGGGTATTGCATAAAAATGCTGGATTAGAAACAAATTAAATAAACATGAAATATTAATTAAATAAAATGTTTTTTTAAATGCATTAAAAGTGTATATATATATATATATATATATATATATATATATTACAAATATTATACAAGTCTATCCACTTATTTTTATTAAAATATCGGGGTACTGCATAAATGTTAAAAGTAATTAAATAAAAAACTTTGTTTTTAAAATGTGCATTAAAAACGTATGTTTATTTATTTATTTATTGTAAATTACATAAATTATTTTATCCAAAGTAAAATAATTCCATCTACTCAATTTTAATAAAATTTTGGGCTATTGCATAAATAAACTGCTGGATTACAAAGAAATAAAATAAGTAATTTTGTTTTCAAATACAATTTTCTAAATGTGCTATAATACCGTTTTAATTGAAACTTTTATGACGGTTTCTTCTTGTCTTTCTAAGCTTTGGTGGAAACACATTTACCAAAATGCACATCAAACAGGTCATGTGACTTTATCTCCTCAAATGATGTGCCTGAATAATCCATTTAATCTCATTATGAGCATTTTCTTTACAAAAATATCTTATTTTTAGCATCAGGCATTGGTAACACAACTAGATAACCTCTTTACACAGAAGCTTATGCAGAGGATTACGACACACGCAAGACAATGAGACAATGAAGGTTTTCGGCGGGCGGCTTTGAACCAGACCGCAGACTTCAAAGAGCCGAGGAATGTGGAGCAATGATCAATCAATGAAAGCCGGATCGGGTTCCCGAATACATTCACACGGAGGAACAATAGCTGAAGGAATCCGGCTCGCTCTGATTTCCTCCCCGCTATCATTCAAGCAACTGTTTCCACGTCATTTGTTCATGATTTCCCCAAACGTTCACCGTATTTGCGAGACAATGCCCAGTAGAGGCTCTCGGCCAAAGCAGACCTGTCGCAGGATCCGTAGCCTGAATTGAACTGTTTTTGCACCGGCCAAACTAGCCTTGTTAACGCCAGAGTTTCCTTAGTTCCCTGTAACCGATACAATGTGAAAAAGCTATTTAGTGACAGGCCAGGAAAGACTTATGGTCCATCTCTCTGAGTCAGACTAAAGGAGAACAGCTGCATCCTGTTATTAAAGCGCAGCGTTAACCTTCGCCAACAGCACCTGACAACCAGAGGCTTTACAGTGCCGTGTACTGTACCCGCCAGAGGCCTTAAAGCGACAGGTCACACTGAACTACACTCGCCTACTCACCCTCATGGTGTTAATGCAACTTAAATATAGCAGATCTTAATGCATAAGCTGTTTCGTTAACAGAGAGATATTATGCAACATTAACATGCCCTGGTGTTCCTCACTCACTTTTATTCAAATTTTGTGAATCGCATAAAAAAAAAAAATCTGAATGCTGGATGGAAGTCGAATGAAATAAATTTGTTTTTAAATAAAATGTGCATTAAAAATGCATGCAATTTCTTTTGTGTACAATAACACATTTTTTTAATCATTGAAGGTCAGCAGCAGAGACAAATAAAATAAGTAATTTTGTCTTCAAAGGTGCCAAAACAATCACTTTATTATAATGTCTCTGCTGCTGACCTCCGATGATTAAAAATAAAATAAAGTGTTATTTTACATTAAAGAAATTGCATGCATTTTTAATATACGTTTTATTTAAAAACAAATATTTTATTTGCAATTTTACTTCTTTCATTTATTTTATTTGACTTTTAAATCAAATGTGTATTCAAAATTCTTTAAATGTAAAATAACACATTATTTTATTTTTAATCATCGAAGGTCAGCAGCAGAGACATTACTTAATAAATTGAGATTTCTGTAATTTAACACATTTAATTATTGCAGGTTTGCCTCGTCAATCATGATGTTACACCCCGTTTTTATAGCATCAAATAACTAACTAAAACCAAACTGGTAAAACGAACACTTGAACATACATGCATCTGCCTGATAAGAAATGCCTAAAATATGGAAGCTTGTTTCCACCACTGAATAAAAAAGATAATTACGACTTTTTATTTCACGATTGCGAGATAAGAAGTCAGACTTGTGAAAAATAAAAGTCGCAATTGCGAGATATAAAGTCGCAATTGCGAGATATAAAGTCGCGATTGCGAGATATAAAGTCGCGATTGTGAGAAATGAGGTCGCGATTGTGAGAAATTAAGTCGCAATTGCGAGATATAAAGTCGCAATTATGAGAAAAAAAGTCGTAATTCTGAGAAATAAAGTCACAATTGCGAGATATAATGTCGCGATTCTGAGAAATAAAGTCGCAATTGTGAGAAAAAAAAGAATCGAGACTTTTTATCTCACAATTCTGACTTTACAACACGCAATTTCGACTTTTATATCAATCAATTCTGACTTTACATCTCGCAATTCTTACTTTATTTCTCGCAATTCTGAATTTATATCACTCAATTCTGACTTTATATCTCGCAATTCTGACTTTATATCTTGCAATTCTGACTTTATAGCACACAATTGCGACTTTGTATCACGCAACTCTGAGAAATAAAGTCAGAATTGTGAGATGTAAACGGTAAGATGTAAAAAAAAGTCGCAATTACCGTTTTTTTATTTTTCATTCTGTGGTGGAAACAAGCTTCCAAACTAAAAATGACAGACAACATTTTTAGAAAAATATTATTTGAAGTGTAATTGGATTTTTTAGTTTGGCTCGCGTCCTATTGGATGCCATGGAGAGGGCGGGGTTTATGAGCTGTATTGCAGCCGGCCACCAGGGGGCGATCGAAGCGCTTCGGCTTCACTCTTCAGGGTGTGTGTGGAATACATGGCAACACAAAGTAACTTGCATTACAAAGTAACTCAGATATTCAGTTGTAAATGTTAAAAGTAACGCATTACTTCAGTAGTTACTTGAAAAAAGTAATAATAACTCTCGTTACTTGTAATGCGTTTCCCCTACACTGTCAATGAGTCAACTATATCTGTGATATACTTTTACTAATTTTGTGGAGCCGTTTAAACAGTCCCATCAGAAAACGAGCCATTTCTGCTTACAGTGCGCTTGCAAAGTTTCCCCTCATATATCCGAGCGTATCCCGCCGCGAGAGCTCGCATGCCATGCCGCGTGGCCATCTGCGCAGTGGAAATATAAGCAGACACATGTTCGTGGGAGAGGTTTGTGTGCTGTGCTCCTACAGGAGGTGGCATGGAAATTCGTGTGCATTGGGTACAGTTATGCAATATGGTTCATAATTCATTTTTACACGGCAATATGGATGGGGTTTTATGCCAAAGCCAAGCAGGGGAGCAGCAGTGACTGGTACAAAGACAATCCTGGGCCTGTTGTGTAAGACTAGCATTGCTTACTAGTAGCGAATAAACCCGTTTTACTCCTTTAGCTCTAAGATTAAAGGCCTGTTCAAACATTATGATAAAGATATAGTTTATAGAAATCATTTTTTTTTAAAACCACACCATAACTATAACAATAATGGCACAGAGAAATGAAATCGTTGGACTCACTCTCAGAATTTTTTTTTTTTACTGACAGCCAATCAGAATCCAGAGCTTGAGCATTTAAAGTGGCAGACGACAAAACTGCAGTGCGCTTATAATAAACAGAACGATATTGTCCGCTAATATAGATATATTTATAGTTTTAGTTCTTAGTGTGAATGGGGCAAGTAAAGTGCTTTTGGGAAAATCTGCATTTTTATATCTATAGTCAAATATAAAAGCATAACAACAATAGCCTGGGATTTATCCATTCACAATGTGTATATAAATATATATACGATATATAAACAATGCTCTGTTGTTTTAACCCAAAATTGGAAAAAATTTGGGTTTGTCCATATTTGACCCAAATTTGTGTTGAAATAACCCAGCATTTTTTAGAGTGTATATATATCTCTGAAAACAACATTTCCATTTCATTGACTGTGCTAAACAGTCTCTACATCAGAGATTTGCACTTGGAGTGAATAGAAAGTTCATAATGTAAAGACACCAGAAATCGTTCACGAGCAGCATATATACACGTACTGTGAGGTTAAACACCTATCCGAACGTTTTCATGATTCATAAACAAATTTGCACTTAATTTGGGATAAAATACTGGGTTAGCTAGTGTTTAGCTAAATACTTTGCTTTTTTTAATGTTGTGACTCAAATCGTCGAATTGATTCACAAATATAACTGATTTGCATGGATCATGTGAACAAACTGACTCACTAAAATGAAACATCTTAAAAATACATCTTGAAAATACATTTTTTGCATACTATTTGTCTTAAAATGTGTGATTGAATTCAGGCTTGCTTGAATATTTGATTTTAAACTTTCCGACTTTCCAGGGCAACATTATTTTTTTTTTCATGTCCAAATATAATTAACATCAATACTTTCACCAAATAAGTCATGTTTTTATCATCAAACAGAGGCTTATATTATGCAGTTAACATCAAGCACACAAAATCTGCACAAAAATGCACATCTATAGTGTTTATAATGTTTGTAAATGTTTCATTTTATATACCATTATAATAAAATGTGACTTACACTGATTTATACATACTTCATAATAAGGATTCACTTGTTAACATGAACTAACAATGAGCATTTATTAATCTTAATGTTAATTTCTAGATTTTTAAAATCAAAATTGAATGCACTGTGAACTAACATACGACGAAGGCTGTAAAAATAAAACTAATGCATTAACTAATGATAACAAATGAGACTTATTGTGAAGTGTTAGTGGTTTTTTTTCTCTCTCTCAACAATTCAATTTTGACCCGATGCAACAAATCTTCAGGTGAATATGGTCGATATTCCCCAACATTGCTATAACTAGCCAATCTAGGTGGGATTTGAGCTGGTAAAGGTGGTGAGAAAGGTCACAGCGATGCTTGCCAACGCTGGGAAAATACGTTTATGGCTGGGATCCCAGGACAGGGCGACGGATGCTGTGAAGGAGCTTATTTACATGCAGTCTTCTTCTACTCAAAATGAACGAGTCAGAAATTTAGCTACGGATCAAGTGATTTATACTCGATTTATTGACGACTGCACTGTTAAAAAAAGAAAACAATTATAATAGATTTAACTAAATTAAAGATCTATTTCAAAATTTCATGTTTAATTTAATGTGTTACTAGCCGTTTCTTAGTAATTTATATCGTATCGTACCAAGTAACCATGCAAGCCTGAATTCTTTCTGCAGTAAGCATTGCAATTGGAAAACAAATATTATGCAAAAACAAATGGATTTTTTTCCCCCCATTTCTTGGAAACGTGGAAAAGTCAGTGGTAAATCATTCAGCTGCCTTTGAACGAGCTCAACCAGGCCCGTCTCTCCACTCCGGAGGAAGAAAAGACTTTATAATAAAGGAAAACGTCACTGAAACACACCCGTGGCTTTGTCGTGACTTGTGGGAAGGAAAGTTGAGGACTCAAACGACATGTGGCTCGCTTGTAGTTCGGTTCTCAAAAGAGAAAATTATACATTTAGTCCTGGTTCACTTCGCGTTAACACCAAACCTAAAGATACAAAACAAATATGCAACATATATTTTGTGACTGAACTGAACTGAATGAGCTGGTTGTGTGCATGTAGCCCATGTATGATGGTATTTACTAGGGCCGGGTATTGAGACAAATTTCACAATTCGATTTCGATTCACAAGCTTGCAATTTGATTCGATTTCGATTACGATTCGATTCAATATCGATTATTTTGGATATCAGTTACAATAAATGGCCATTTTTCTCAAGGAAATTAAATCTCTTAACTAATGCTGTAAACTATGGGAGTCTAGTTGTAGCCTATAGGCTTCATTAGCCTAATATGAAGGTAATAATGAACTGTTTTGTAGCTATACAAACACTTAAATTACACTTTTATTTATTTTTATAATAATAAGATTATATGAAATATAAACATTTAAATGGTGGCTGTCATAAAAACTTGCCATATTTATTCAATTTAATATTGAAGAACATTACGATTATGATGTATATGTAATATGGTGTATATATATGTACCAAAATGCTCCTCTCTAGAGTTATTTTTTCTAGCTGACTAACGAGTTTGTGGGTTTTCTGAGGTAAATATGACGATACATTGATTACAAGCTGTTTAACTGACGTCTTTCCACGGTTGAAACGCTGATTGAGCGAATCAATGTGACATGATACGGATTTCGATAAGTTGTACTCTATCTTTAACACACTTTCATGTTTATTTGGCGCTGTGACTGGTATTATTAAGCCGGAAGAGAGATCAGCGCTGCTGCTTCTCTTGATCTCACGCCACAGCGCCAAAACACTATTTATGTTTTTGAATTTCTAAAGAAAATGGACGTAATTTGAAAATTGAGACTTTGTTTCATATCAATAGTAACAAAGGACAAAGATTATTGCGATTTTTTTGGATGCGCGCAGCCGCGATACAATGTCCCATTCATTCAAATGAAACAGGATGACTAATCGATTCTTGAGATTTAAGAATCCATATCGGTTCGTAAAAATGAGAATCGATTAATATCGAGAAATCGATATTTATTACCCAGCCCTAGTATTTACGATGAAAAATAACTGAGAAAAAAGTAAAGTCCATATTTTATAGCTAAACATCTAGCTTTAATTCGATCTCAACAGATTCGTTAAAAGTAGTTATTACTCCAGCACGTGTGTGACATGATTAACCGACGTGCGACTAAGGTTTCGGGAAACATCCGTTTCGTGACTCGCTAGTTGATTTCTTGACTGTGATAGTGCACACACCCCGGTTGGGAATATATCCCTATGCCTTTAGGTTTGGTGCTAAAATGCCAATGTGAACGCTAAGCAGAGCAGGACGAAATGTTTTTCTTTCTTGGTTCGAACCAAGCGAACCGAACTAGTGTGAACTTCAGTCGAGAGTTGATTTGGAAGTGGTTCGAGATCCCTGAAAACGAGGCTCTCGGTCCGCTTGTTACACCAGGGTTCGAGAGAAGAGTTAGCGAGAACGGTTCAAGGTCCAAATGAGAGTTTCAGTGCAGCTTTTAACGACACCAGACGATGAATAAGGGTCTTATCTAGGACCCTTCGAGTCATGACTCGAAAAAAGATTCGTTCATTTTGATGAACGAGTTAGAGTCACGAACATCAAGGCTCTTATTCATCGTCTGGTGTCGTTTAAAGCCCTTTGAAGCTGCACTGAAACTCTCATTTGGACCTTGAGCCGTTTGGTCCCCATTGAAGTCCATTATATGGAGAAAATCCTGGAATGTTTTCATCAAAAACCTTCATTTCTTTTCGACTGAAGAAAGAGTAAATTATCAGCAAATGTTTTTTTAAAGGTGAACTACTCCTTTAACTAAGATTATTAAATGCTGTGGAAGTTTTGTTCATTCTTAGTTCATCATGTTAACTAACGAACCTTATTGTATAGAGTATCCGAGAAATTCATGACTTCTGACGTATATAAGATGCGCTATATAGCTCAAATGGTTTTCTGTCTTGTATTTGATCTCACAATGATGGATGTCACTTGAAATAAGTGAAAACAGCCTCTTATTTACATGAGGTAAACATAAAGCTGCTTGGTGTATTTTTTTAATGCCGTTTATATACATTATACATAATTGCTGGTATAATTACGGCCCATTTCAAATGTTTACATGCTTTTCCTCTCTTTATCCTTTGAGCTGGTGATATGAAATACTGTTCTTCCAGCATTTCAGTAATAAAAGTCTATAGGCTAGATCTTTAAAATGCAAAAATGAGTGAAAAAAAAGTGATCTATTCTCAGAGATGTGGATTCAGACTGCAATTAAATCACATTGTGTGTCAAAAACCGCGGATGTTGCGAGAAAAACACTGACTTTCTGGATTCAGGCAATAAAATCACCAACTGTAAATGTTGAACATCCTATACGACCCCATTTATATGCTTCTCCTCGTGTGTTTTGACGCGTTTGCTCACCAATCTTCCATACGGAAACAGAAACTGCAACGACTGGCTCACTTACGTGTGTTTATTACAAACAACCAACTCATGTCACTTTCAATAGGGCTTTAAAACTAAATTAAAGTTAAATCATTAACAGACACACGAGCTTCTGTAACACACACTCTCCTCTCTGGAATAATCTGCGTTCATGCCATGTCGTAATTATCGTCGAGATGATGACGTGATGTATTTCTACCGATACCTAAATGAATGCTGAAAACTATAAACACAGACAATAGACGTCAGGTGATAAGAATTGCAACTTTGTTTAGAAAACTAGTCCCAAATAATGATAATTGAACTCTATTACAATAAATTTTGCCATGTGGTTGTGATTATTGTGATTTTGTGTCGGGGCCGGACTCTAGGGGGCGCCACTGTCAGGTGCAAAACCATGAAACGAGTTTACCTCAAAAGCCCATTATATTCATCTTACCGTCTGAAAAACAGTCATATATATTAATAAATAGATAAAATAATCAATGCATTTGAGTGTAACACCTGCTGAAGTTTAAGGAGAGACCATCCCATGAAGCAACTAGGCTAGTTGTTAAATGTGTGGGCATTTCTTTTATTTGATAAATTAAAGATTTGAATGATTACTACATTTAAGTAGCTTATAAAAGATAATAATGTTTGTACTGACCTGATCTCGATTAGTCCATTTCAAACTTCCCCACTGCCTATGGAAAAAAAACAACAACACATTATAATTATAATTTTGCAAAATGACTTAAAATTAATTTGTTTGCAATAATATTTCAGTTTAATTGTGATATTTCACTTTATTTTATCCATGTGAGATGCATTTTAAAGCACAACATCTATTTTTTAAAAATGATATTCATGCTGCTCGTAAAAATGAACCTTAGCCATCAATATGCTTAATTGATCACTTCAGCAGAGATTTATTCAGTGAATTATTGATTAAAGATCAACAGTAATTAGTGATTATTAAATTAGCTGATCATGAAAAAATAGAGCATGCTTCAATCAATGTGAATAAAGAGATAAAATGTGAATATTCATTCAAAGAGACGTCCTGCGAATTTTCAAGTGAGCAATTCTGCAAATAAAACGGGCATAACGTTATTTGCCAAACGATTTCTGATGTGTTTCTCATTAAAGCACATGCTCTGAATTTATGAACAACTAAACATGCAATATATACGTTTCCATAACATTAAACAAGTAATATACCCCCCCACCCACCCAAAGATTTGTATAATCCAATGAATCCACATGCACACTTTTAATATGAATGTGATTAATATGAAAAATATGATGTTTTTTATGCATAAAATACATTTTTTGACATGCTTTATTATGCCCAAATGCACAGTGTGGTGTTTAAAGAAAGATAATGTATTTTTAAACACAAATTCATTCAAATATTATTGTGACCTTTAAAGCCAATGATAGTTATTTTACATACCTTTTCATGACACAGTAAATGAGTATATTAATAATAAGTTATGCACATGCACTCTTTTTTGTCTCACTTTTCCTCAAAACATTCAGTGCATATTGCAAAAAAACATGGAAAGATGCGTAAATCTATTTAGACAATGACAATCGTGCAATAAACTTTACAAAAAGCAATAAATCTGTCAGCAAACACAAATGATCCTGAGTTTGTGGGGAAAGTTCGTGCTTTGGAGAAGAGAAACAAATGCAATATAATTCGTTGCGGCTAATGCATGTTTAAAATAGCATATTATATATATTAATAATCGTATTAATGTCCAAAACACATTACATGCAAAACAGCAGAACCAAAGACAACCACTAATGTAATAGGATTAAAAATACTAACACGGATTAAACCAAAAATAAAATGAGTGAGAATAAATGTATCATAAAAAACGTGGAATATTAAAGTTATTTTCCGACTAAACTGACTTCAATACACACGCTAATACACTCCTCCTACACTAAAAAGTTTATGTATGTTATAATATCTGCAATTCTGATCTTTGTTTGTTTGCAAGTTAGGTTGGAGATAAACATTGAATATTTAATTTACACACATGCACAAGATAATGCAAAACACGCATATATTTTAGCATAAAATGATAGATTTTAAATAGAGTTCATTATAATTCAAATAGACGAACTCTAACCCTTAAACGAAACTTTAGCATTTTTAGATATAAAAAAATACATAATTTACTTAATCTATGGATCTCTTTTGTCCAAACGAAAAAGTAAGTAAAAGTGTGTGTAAACACTGATATAAGCTAGTACTTCTGTGTTCAACAATGTGCACAAAATAAATGATAAATTATACAAATTAAATCACATTTAAGCGTAAAAAGCGTGTGTGTCTAGTAAACAAACTTGCTTAATAGAAAATTAATGTCTTTAATTCAGTAGAAATCATATAAAATGTAGTCTGTGGTCTGTTTAATCTCGTCAGGCATTTTTTATCCATATTGACGAGAAGTATCGATAGAGCTCGCTTCACACACTGCATCAAAATGGTGGACTTGAACTTCACACACACACACTGAAACCCAAACTACTGAGGAATGAGACCCCCTCATTGCAGACACCGTGTGTGTGTGTGCCCACGAGGGAGGCCAATCGAGTTTTATAATATTTAGAAATACCCCAAAATTAAATTTAACGTTGTTTAACTTTAAACTCTTTCCATGATAAATGTGTGTGTAAATAAGTGTGTGCCCGAGGGTGAGCAATCGAGATGCAAATATTTAGAACTTTCCCAAAATTCCATTTATTGATAAGTTTTTACTTTAATAAATGTGTATTTTAAGTACTTCTAGCCGTGTGTGTGTGTGTGTGTTCTTGGCGTTAACACACATTTTACAATTAAGTCCCTGTTCTTGATCTGGCAGTTCTCAAGTCGCAAAGTCAGCAAATTCAACAACAGGTAAAGACACACACACACCACAGTATTTGACTGGAATCATAAATCTACACCACATGCATCACAACAAAACATCACATTTCTTGTCCTAAAGACTGATAATTATCAAGCCTTTACACAAAACACAGTCCGGAATTCTTACAACATTAAATAAATATGGCTCTTGTTTTGGGAATATATTCATAAAATTTTATTTAATTAATAAAAACCCTAACCACATGCATGTATGAATTATATTATTAGTAAATATATATTTTTTAATCTCCTAAGCAACACTAGCTATGAAATGAATCATAAATGCGTTACAGCATAACTATCACGATTATATCATAATATTGTTGATTTTTAAATGCATTATGCAAACAAAAATGACCTTAATAGAGCGAACCACGTGTATTTCGTAAGTTCTCAAAAATTCTCATTTCTCAAAAAAATAAATAAATAAATCGACGCATAAAAATGGCAATTAAGAAATAAATACATAAAATATTGCATGCACTAAATAAATAAAAAAATCACAGTTGATCAAAGACTCAACAGAGGCCAGATACAAAGAGTGAAGCCAGCCAGGCCTCTCGCCACCGAAAACAACACTTTGACCCAAATATAAATATGAACAAATTCCTCTTTCGCGGTGTTATATTTAATAAGACAAGAAAAGTTTCTCCATCTCAACATGGCTGAAAAGTATCAGCATTAGTACACCACATGAGGTCAAATGTAATCTGAAATATATTTTGGATTACATTGAGTGATACTTCACAAACCTGACCGTGATCCGTGTGTTTTTAATCCGTCGGAAACGCACGTTTTAGCAATCTGTGCAATGCATCGGAGAAAAAAAAAAAAAAAAAAAAAAGCATGCACACTCTAACACACACACACACACACACACACACTGCTGTGACTTACACACATCTGCGAGGACGTCAGCGTCCGGAGGCAGTGCTTTCCTCAGGCCTCTTTTTCTTCGGCTGTTTTGCTGCAGAGAGAAAAGGGCTGCTATTCCTCGAGCCGTCCCGTTCCCGGTCCCCTCGACAGGCTCTGGATGGGCTCGTCTGGGCCTCTGGAACAATAGGAGGCCTCCGGGGCGTCTGGGAGGTGTGTGTGAACCCCGTCTGCGGACCGGAGCGCGTCTCGCTGAATGCTGCGTGTTAGCAAACACACAATTAGCGTGTCTGTCGCATGCAAATGGTCGCGGAGCGCGGAGGCCCGAGGAGTGTCGAATAAACGCCCCCCCCCCACGATCCTCCCCTTCGCAACCATGGCGTTTTCCTTACACTCCCGACGTTTTCGGACACCTTCCGAGGGCGACTGGCACCTGTCCCATGTCGACTGGCACCTGGATTCGCCCGCTCGCTGAAATCGGAAAAGAAATGTGTGAAAACAGGAGCCTGTGAAGCAATATCTTCAATCAGGTGCATGGGAAAGCGCAGGAAAAGCGGGAGCAGGTTTGTGGAGGACGCTTTAGTCAGGAGGCCCTCGTGGCAAAACAAAAAAAAAGGTTTCTTTTCTCTCTTTTTTTCCCTCTTGCACTCTCTTTCCAGCGGGTCTCCACCTTGAGACAGCGGGGCTCGAGGAACCCGTACGGGAAGCCAATGAACGGGGGAGAGGGAAAGAGATATGAAACTGGAGACGTAGAGGGGTGAAACTCCTCATCAGACGTCCCACATGGCCTTGCACTTCAGAGAGAGAGAGAGAGAGAGAGAGAGAGAGTGGGAGGGCGGAAAAACAGCAAGTCCAGAGCAGAAGAAAGACGGAGAGAGAGAGAGAGAGAGAGAGAGAGAGGGAGTGTGACATAGATACTCCTCCCCCAGCGCGCAGACTCAGTGTGTTTTCCCACACACACACGGATAATCCCAGCAGAAAGAAAGAAAGAAAGAAAGAGAGTAGAAATGCAGCAGGACAGCGTAAAACTGTTTGAAACTTTTCTGAACATAAAAACCAGCTGGCTATTTATTTAGCTCGTCTCTCCCACAAACATTCATTTGGTGTTTCACTTTAACGTCGAACACCAAGTATAGATCTTCCAAACGCAACGGATGCCAGAATGACACGCTGTGCATCCATTTTGAATTCTGGACGTCGCAAAGTTTTTCATTGGATAACAGCGTAAACTTTGGCGTATTCCTCAAATAAAGCTTCATGAGTCATGTGGACATGGCGAGTACATTTTTTTTTTTGTTTGTTTAACCAGGATAAAACGTCAGCTAACTAACCATACATTGTCATTCCCACCACATCTCGAAACGGCCATTCGTTCTGTGGTGGAAATGACGCCCAGTATAAATATTCTGCCAGCAAATTATATTTATCTTGAGGTTTTCAAGTGAAATCAAACTCATCAGGGACAATAATGTGAAAATTACACCACAATGAATAATTAATGAACGGCCAAAGTTTAGATAATCATAGTTATAAAAATGCATTTTCATAGTTTTGGAAAAAAAAGAAGATCATACTTGAAGAAACACCCGCATTCAACCAATCAGAATCTCCGCTCTGGGTTTAGACAACAACTCTGACCTTCCAGCCAATGAGAAAGCGGGAAAACGAACAGACTCCGCCCCCCCCACAACGCTTCTCTCCTCATGTGCCCTTTCTCTCTCTCTCTCTCCCTTCTGCTCGTTCATCCCTCCATCTGCCCCGTTTGCTGAAACCCCTCCCTTGCTTGCGGTGGCCGAGCGAGTCTGGGAAAGAAAACTGCACAAACATCATTCAAACACACACCCACCGTTAGAGACGTGCCGCTCTTTTCTTCCCAGAGTCTGAAATTGTGGCAGGCGCTATTCTAATAAATTAAAAGGAAACGGACAGAGCAAAAAAAACAACAAAAAAAAACACTCTGTTTGCTCTTGTGCTCGCGCACGAAACCCCTCGAGGGTCGGACTCGCTGTGCAAACTTTTTTTCCCTCTCGACTGCAGCTCTCTCTCTCTCTCTCTCTCTCTCTCTCTCTCTCGCGGCTCGACTAATGAGAGTGCAGGAAGAGAGAAACTGCGAAAATCTCTTGTGGACTTACTCAACACTTCTCTCTGCAGTTTCTCTGGGGACTGAGGGAAGATTGTGCCACTTCAGAAGGTGGGGCTTCTGTCTTAACCAGCGTGTTTCTGACTGATCTAACACGGCCGATGCATTCCCTTCGGCGCTGGCTCGCGTCCGTCCTCGCACACTAACACCCCAACCGGGCCGACGCAGAGTTAATGCGCTCGTGCAAAAAAAAAAAAACGGACGTTTTACGCCGTTAAGTTCGTCGTTTTCCTCCCACGTCACATCTCGCCACGGCTTCTGACCAATCAGTGGCCTCGTTTCTAGCTTCATTTCTAACTTCAGATAGCAGATTGCATCCCTAAAGACTGAGAAAGCAGGACTTTTATTTTGTTATAAAGCAGGAAAACTCTGTTTAGTAGCAACACCGCCTTTATGTCTAAACACGGCTCGACGCCGTGACAAAACGGAGATGCATCACACCTAATCTCAATTGTGCATTCATTCACAATCATTGCAATGCAATGCTAGCAGAGGAAACCGGTGCAAGAGAAAGTGTGTGATAGATGCTACATGCTAAACACACTTGGATTCCTGATTATACGGTGAGTTTTAATAAATGCCGTGATGCTAGAACATGAGGACTGTTGAAAACACGATGCTAACGTCGATACAACACACTTCACCTCTCTGAGGTCACGTTCAGCACAAAATGGCGGCCGCCTCCATCTCGTAGATTGGCAACTGTCGTGCGTCTGATGCCTTCATGATTGATGAGACGCACACAGGGAACAATAAAGATTGCATTGTGAAAAACACGGTGTGTATTTTGTTAACCCTAAAACCGTATTCTGGACAAATGTGGGCAAAATAGTTTAAAAAAAATACTTCCCTTGAGCTGAGCGGTACAAGACTTGGCTACTTTTGCACACACATTTTTTTTTTTTGACTCAATTCTACAATGTTAAGTGAAAAGAAACTCCTGGGCACCCATTGAAATGAATGGGAAAAATTAAAATGAGCCAAAATAAGACACCAGCTGACAGCAAAGTCACTTCATCTTTAGGTTTTAGCTCTATTGGAATGATATTTTAATGTAGTTAAAAAATAAAACTACATAGTAATTCATTTACATAGAAATATGGTACTTTTTTAAGTAAATAAATTCAAAAATACCCCCAAAATAAAAATAAAAAACACCATAAATGGATAGACAAAACTTTATCGAAGACAGTGATATAACATTTATAATAAATAAAAATTAGGATCACACCCGAGTCCTAATTGTGGAATCCAATATAATTACAATATAAAGTGAATACGGTTTGTTCGTTACACATAGACAAAAATGCATGGATGAAACAAATATATCAATTTTGCATTAAAATCACAATTAAAATGCATTAGCTTGTTAAATGCAGTTTTCTTTCTCTAGAAAGGGAAGCTATATTTGGACAATTCTCCCATGGATACTTGTCCTTGTGAAATCATCAGATGCCCCAGACTTCAACTGGACGTTGAAAATGAAATAATATGCCAACTAGCACAAATGTTTTGCTGTGCATTTTAGTCAGCACTGCATTCTTTGATATCGTGATGTTGGCCTGGCGTCAGGCCGCGTTCGCATGGGTAAGTAACCTGGACACACACACACACACATGCGGAGTTTGTCGCAAATGTTGGACAAATGAAAGCCAGCAAGAAAACATCCGACAGCAGGAGCTTTGAGAGCCGAGATTCTCTTTCATGTCTGGAAACATAAAGTTCAATGAAATCATTCTTAAAAATACTACTTTCTGCTTTTAAAAGGCAAAATCAGGCCCTGTTCAAACATGCAAATTGGCCTCAATTAAAATATGCGAATCTGCAAACAAATCCACACTTTTAAACAAGATACACTCTTTTCCCGACTTCACACAAAAAAGGCCGTTTGAGGTGGTCTGACCTCTGACCTCCACGCGTGCCTAAAGGACTGCTCCATTGACTCCCCACTGGGTCAGACAAAAAGGTCACGACCCCCGGGTCAAAAGCGTTACTCAAGGGGCTGTTCAAGCTAAATTGAGAGGGTGCGACATTTGTTTGCTTTGACAGGGTAAAGATTACGCTCACGTTAAGTGTTGCCGACAAGCGGGTCGGCCCTTTGGGGACGACCTGTGGGACCTCAGACAGCTCCTCTTATTAACTGCTGCTGACCTTTGACCTCTGGCACCATCCGAGCGACATCGGGTTCTCATGCGCGCACCTGATCTGAGACCGAAATCAATCACACACAGGTTAGCGTCCTTCATATTTAACAACCTCATGATGATATTACAACATGCAAAATGTTCTGTGTAAATCAAATAGATTATAAAGGAGAGCAGAGAATTTTAAAAATTAAAATTTGGGTTTTCATAATTTAAAACACTAGTATTTGAAAGAACGTTTGGGCAATACTTTATAAACGAATTTTAAATGCATTAATTATGCATCGTATGATCATTTTAAAGCACAGTTAAAACACCTTTAGAAAGTATAATACATTAAAATGCACGGCAAACGAGGCATCTGCTGATTTTATAATGCGTTTTAACTTTGGGGCAATTATTTATACAACGTACATTATTAGCAATAGCATCTTTACACATGAAGGCTTTAAGTAAAGTGCTGCCGAATTAATAATTGAAACATTTATGTAATATAAATGAATACTCCAACCATTTTTTTAACCTATTGTAGATGTGATGCAATATTTATTGTACTAAGTGTGTTAAAATATTTCAGTAGCATTATCAATTATATAAAAGATTATATTGTTAAACTTTAACATTTTGTGGCTACACCTTAAATATGAGATATATTTATGAATAATTATTATGCATATATGCCTAAAACAAAATATTGTAAGGGGAAAATATACAGCGTCGTTGTGAAAACGCGTGTGTGTGTGTGTGTGTGTGTGTCAAGAACAAGACAAAAAAGTAATAAAACATCCATGTTTTTTCCCATGAAATCACTGATACTTATAACATTTAACTAACACATAGTCATTAAAATTATTTTTCGATTTTATCTCTATCAATATTTTTTTTAACACCTTTTAAGTATTTAAGTAAATTGTGTGCAAATGTAATTACACTAAATTGGCCAAATTTTATTTTTAGATTAACTATATATTTTAATACTCAGAGGATTCACAGGCTAAATACATGTTTTCATTATGATACTCTATATCCAGATAACCAAATAACACAATATCTTCTGTTAATAACCCATTTTTAAGTTAAAAAAATGAATAAATGTGTGCAAACACCAGTGTAAAGACACTTCACTCAAGTCATATGCTTCTTCCACAAAATACAATTATAAATAAATCATCAATTATCACTTCTCATCATTTCACATTTTGCCTTGGTAGTAAAATAACAAGCTTCTTAGATCATCTATCTATTAACACACAAAAATAATACGCGCAATTGATGAAGATTAGCTGAAATCACTTTTTTTGTGCGAAATACAAAATCCTTTAATTAACAAAAAACTCGGCTTTTCTTCCTTAACAAGAGCAAACTAACACTGACTTTTCTCAAATCTCTATAAATGACTCGAGCAAACCTAAATATTGATTTACACAATTCAAATGGCTTTTAAACAACACTTTTGTACAAATAAAATTGAAGCATGTTGCATGTGTTTATCATGATACGAGATCTTTAGTTTAAACATGGTTATTGAGACCTGTCAATCAAAC